GTACCAGCAGACAAGTGAGCAGCTGACGGCGGGATAGTGGTGAGACAGCTGGCGGTAGAGTTTTGATAATCTGGCCGCGTAAACAATGACTTTCGTATCCTTTTAGAATTCATGCTTCTTTAGGTTGGTGCCTATGGACATGGTTAGAGAGCCACCAAGTTACTCCTAGTAGCGATAAGAAACTAATTTTGCTTATTTTTTATTGGGTTTTTTTTTTTGTTTTTTTGTTCTTTCATTCTCCTCTTGTCGTGATGAGGGGCCCCACCGTGTGGCCAGTCCCCTTAATATCAAAGGACAGTCTTATATCCTTTATATTGGAAGCCCTTGTTAATGTTTTGTGTGTTCGCTGTTCAGTGAGTTCTGGTTGCAATGTTTTGAGGTCTGGGTTGATTATGTTGTATTCCACATGTCCAATTGATGGTTTATAATTTCTATAAAATGCTGTCACTAAATGTAAATGGCCTGAATAGTCCCATTAAAAGAAGCAAAATAATTGCCAAATTGAAAAAGGAGACAGTAGATATAGCATATTGGCAAGAAACCCATCTAGGCATTGCAGAACATGAGAAATTAAAAAAAAAAAAAAGGGTTTCAGACACACATTTTATTCATCGTATAGGGCAGGGAAAAAACGAGGAATGGCTATCCTGATCTCAAACAAAATAAAATTTGATCATATATCTAACATAAGCGATAAGGAAGGTAGGTTTGTCTTAGTAAAAGGCAAAATAGATCACAAGGCTGTCACACTATTAAATGTCTATGCACCCCCAGGAAGCAACACAAGTTTCTTCCAAAAGATATTTGATTTGATCTTTAAGGAAACTGTGGGAACTCTCATTTGTGCAGGAGATTTGAATTTACTGTTAAACCCCCAATTAGACTCAAATAATAGTGGCAGGAAAAGCACGTTTGGAGAGAAACAAGTTAAAGGAATGTTAACGGAATTAGGGCTTATTGATGTGTGGCGGTCTATTCATGGGTCAGCATCAGGGTTTACCTTTTACTCTGCTCAACACTTAGTGTACTCAAGGATAGATTACTGTTTTATGTTTAATAGGGATTTAAACAGGATAAAAGACTGCACAATAGGTCCAAGAGATTTCTCTGACCACAGTGGAATTTATATAACATTACATTTGGATGGGAAACGGAGGACAACTTTGTGGAGACTAAATACTGGTATGTTAAATGATCCCGCTTTTGTGAAACAAATGATAGCTGACCTTAACTTGTACCTGCAGGACAACGATAATGGAGAGACAAACCCCAGTATCGTGTGGGATGCAGCTAAAGCTGTCCTCAGAGGAAAAATAATTGTGTGGTCAACCATGCTTAAAAAGAAAAAGTCACAAGACCTGTTACAACTGCAGGATAGATTAAAGGTCTTGGAACAGTCAGGTCTGAAGGATAAAAATACAACAGTAACCCACCAGATCAGACAGATCAAGCAGGAAATAGATAAGATATTAGGTGAAGAAGTAGAGAAAAACATAAGATTTATGAAACAGAGATATTATGAGGGGGGACCTAAAGCTGCGAAGCGGTTAGCATGGCGGATTAGAAAACAGCAAGCTGAAAATACTATTTATAAGAGACCCAGTTAATAATAAAGTCGTAACTGACTTGGACAAAATTCAAAGAGCATTTGAAACGTATTAAAAATCGTTATATAGCCAGTCTATCCAGGGTGATGTAAATAAGGTAACTGATTTTTTGAACTCTTTACACCTGCCTACAATTGGTCGGGAAGCAAATAATAGGTTAACGTCTTTAATATCTCAGGAGGAAATAATTAAAGCTATTTCTAGCCTTAATTCCAATAAGTCACCAGGTACCAACGGGTTCCCTGCTGAATGGTACAAAACCATGAGGGAAAGCCTTCTACCCTTGTTGGAAACCAGTTTTAATTATATCTTGAAAGGAGGACTGGTACCTCCCTCCTGGAAGGAGGCCTTCGTATCTGTTTTGCCAAAGGGGGGACAGGATAGAATAAATTGCAAATCTTATAGGCCAATAAGTGTTCTGAACTCAGATTACAAACTATACACAACTATTTTGGTAAAAAGAATGGATGCTGTAATGCCTTCATTAATTGATGAAGACCAAACGGGTTTCTTGAAAAATAGACAAACCCATGATAATATTAGGAGAGCTTTACATATCATCGAACACATTAATAATAGGAAAAATAGCTCAATTATTCTTAGCTTAGATGCTGAAAAAGCTTATGATTCAGTGAATTGGGACTTTCTCTTTCTAGTGATGAAAAGATTTGGTTTCTGTAGTGAATTTATAAAATGTTTCCAAGCTCTTTATTCTCTCCCTACTGCCAGAATAAAAATTAACGGTAGTCTCTCCAATACCATATTTTTAGAACGCGGATGCAGGCAGGGGTGCCCAGCAAGCCCCTATCTCTTCAATTTGTTTATCGAACCCTTAGCCCAGGCTATACATCAGGAAACATCGTTGAAAGGGATTGTAATAGGAGGGGGCGAGTACAAGGTATGTCTATATGCAGACGATGTCTTGGTAACAATCACAGATCCCAGCTCAGGTGTACCAGTATTAATGAAGATGTTAGAAACATATGGCTTATATTCAGGGTATGTTCTTAATGTAAAAAAACACAGGTTCTGACATTTAATTTCTCTCCAGACCAGACACTATTGTCAAAATTCAAATTTAAATGGAAGGCAACCACTATCAAATATTTAGGAGTGTTCCTGCCTAAAGACCTAACACAACTGTATGATATTAATTACAGTCGTACTAATAGAGAAATATACAGGGACTTCAACATTTGGAGCCTGCTCCCTCTTGACTTTGGCAACAGGATACAGATAATTAAAATGAGCATTCTTCCTAAATTACTCTATCTCTTCCTTGCTTTACCTATTCCAATTCCAGAGAAGCAGTTCAGGGAATGGAATAAACAGATTTCGAGATTCATTTGGCTTAACAAAAGACTACGGGTAAAGTTTTCTACTTTGCAGTTGCCGAAGGAAAAAGGGGGCTTGGCTCTACCTTCATTAAGGGATTACTACTTGTCTGCTCAGCTGAGGTCTTTGGTGTGTTGGTGTAACCCATCCTTTTGTGCAAGGTGGAAGGCGATTGAGATGTCTCTCTCGGACACACCGATCCAGTCTAGACTTGGTCACGCAGCTTCTGAGTTGGACAATATCTTGACAACCAGCCAATGGGTCAGTTTTACATTAAAAATATGGAGGGGAGTGGTCAAGCAGGCACAACTTCAGGAAGAGATAAAACTTCTGAGGTGGCCAGTGTACGAACCTGATTTTTTTACCTGCCTCCCACAACAGTAGATTTAGACAATGGGTATGGCATTGAATTACTGCTGTGTGTTCAGTTATCGTAAAATCTAAAATTATGGCTTTTGATACCTTATGCAAGACTTACGACCTCGAGAAACAAGACTTTTTCCGATACTTGCAACTCCGTGACTATATTGGCAAAAGAATAAACAGCTGTGTCCCTGGAGACTTCTTGATTGTTAACATCTTCATTGACGCTTATGACTCCGGGAGTAACAAAGCCCTGATAAGTAAACTGTACAAATGTATGACTAAGCTCAAAAGGGACTCAACAATTTACATAAAACAGAAATGGGAAAAAGAAATGGACATTGAGATTACAGAAGATGGGTGGACACAGATTTGGGAAACACAGTTTACCACAATTAACTCCAACATGTGTCGGGACTTTTGTTGGAAGAACATTATACGCTTTTTATAACACCTAAACAAAAGTCTAAATTCAGTGCTACACCTGCGCTTTGTTGGAGAAACTGTGGGGAAGTCATGGCAGACCACGGACACATATTCTGGTCCTGCCCATCCATACGACCCTTCTGGATGGAAGTTGTAAAAATAATCACAAAGGTACTGGGATTCAATGTGACTTGTACATTTGCATCATTGTATCTGGGATATTTTGCAGAAGATTTAGTTACAGATGATGTTTATCTCCTAAGAATTCTCTTGGCATCTGCGAAAAAGGCTATAACAAAACGCTGGCTTTGTAAAGACCCTCCCACTATAATACTTTTTACCTCTATAGTGGAAGACATCAAATTGATGGAATGTATGACTTTCACCCTGCGACTTCAGGGAGACTTGGGAAGGAGACTGTTAGATTTGTATTGTTGTTCAATGCAAACATTTTTATACTCAGCATATGTCAAATCACCCTAAATTACTGAAAAGGTACACAGTTCAACAAATGTATTAGCAGTTATCCCATTCCTCATTGATCTCATCTCATGGCAAACTGCATCCTACGAGCAAACAAAGAAATTGTTAATTTAATAGTGAAAATAAGAAGATAACATTTTCAAAAACATCTCAGCTTGGTGGTGCTTCCTCCGGGTGTGCACATCACATGTCTCTCTGCAGAGTGGTTTAAACTCTGCAGGGCGTCATGAATGTCTCTTCCAGTTGTTTCCATCACTGTCCATAGGACCAGAGTCCAAATGTACGTAGAATAAACATTCACACATACCAGTTGGTTTTGTTGTTCGTCAACATGGGTCTCAGCTATTTCCAAGCTGCAGACCTCTCAGCACTCCAGTTTTATGGCCTCTTACCAGCCCCCATCACCTGACTTCAGACCTTCATCTTGTGAGGGGGATATTTATGACGTTGGAGAAAATGGCTGGGCTTTACAAATTGTGGCAGCACTCTTTAATGCATAGAACTTGCAATACCAAAGTATTAATATACAGTATGTATGTGTGGATGTGCAGCTGTATGCACAGGCATATATTGTCTTCCCATGACCTCATAATATTTTGTCTTTTTTGTTTCTTTTTCTGCATAAAAATGTTCATAAATAAATAAAAAGTTTAAAAAATAAATAAATAAATAAATAAATAACACGTCCTTTCTAAGGAGGACATCAGTAAGTTTAACTACTTTTTTGTGGTAAATTCTTCCTCAACAAGTATGTTTAAATTGTTCTCGTGTTTAATGATAAATATTTTATTTTTATGTATGTAATCAGCAATCAGAGATCAGTGAATTCAGTTTCTAATCATGTTCATTGTGGAAATGTGTTTGTACTTTATAGTGAGAGAGCGAGATGGGCCTCATCAATTCCACATCTATTGGTGAGTCAAAGTAAAGTAAGTAGTGAATTCAGTTTTGAGACCCTTTCTAATCATGTTCATTGTGAAAATATGTTTGTTTTTCACAGCGAGAGAGCAAAAGCTGCAGGACCTGCATCTCAAATTGATGGGTGAGTCAAAGTAATGTAAATATTTTAATAATATATATGGATCTAACATTAAGTAGTGACTGGTGATTTCAGTTTTGAGACCCTTTCTAATCATGTTTATTGTGAAAATATGTTTGTTCTTCACAGACATAATTCAAGAGCTGCGGGACCTGCGTCCCACATGTATGTATGAGTCAAAGTAATGTAAA